CGGCCAACAGTCCCGTTTTTTTAGCATTTGAAAGGTAATTCTTCAGGTTTTGATGACCGGTTTTGTCGGACGCTGAAATATGTTGGCAGGCCTTGACACTGTGGTAATTATCTCCCTTTAGCGCACTTTTAGCCGCTCGGGCAGATCGCATCCAACTCTCTGCATCCTTGCATGGGCACAGTGGATCGTCGATATGAGATATGCAATTCTCCCGATCCCGTCCTTCTTGGTCACCAGGGCAAGTACACCTGCAATTTATGCAAGTTCTGTATACGCAACACCCTTGTTATTGTCACCATTCTTCTCATCGACACCATGCGCACTGGAGCCCTGCCCCATATGTACCATCTGCCTCCCTAGTCCCATGCCATTCAAGGAAATCCCTATGTGCGCATTAGCAAGCATTCAACTCTGCCAAACGTGCAGAAAACTCCAGGCAGGGGCCTCGGTGCTTCTTCTTCACCAATCGTAGGCCCTCGCACTATTTTCCAGTGGTAGCTTCACAGTGTCCTTCCTCTGAGCTGTGGGCAACTGTAGTGCGAGCAGACCGCTTCCTGTCGGACACACGTAACGCCTTCGATGGCAGCCTTAGTCCTGGCAGAGTGACACACTACCCGTACTCTTCATTGTTCATGCTTGCATGTCTCTTTTCCCAAGAGCCATGACACTTGAATCCATACAATGAGCTTGACGGCTTTCTGGCGAATTGTCAGATTCTGTCCATCAGGATCGCGTTGAGGTGTTGTCACCGTTTGCCCTTCATGCCCAATACTCCTTTTTCACATTTTCCGGGTCAGAACACGCCCCCATGGGCTAAACCACTTGTCCTAGGATAGTCACGAGTCCACGCTGATGTGTAGGATTGATTGACTAAAGTATATTTAGCATTCACTAGACACACCGCAGTTTGCACCGTCATTTTTTCACATCACAGAGACGGGACACTATTTCCAAAGCATTGTGGAATGGCGCCCGTCCATGGGAATGCCTAGGGTCCACTGTTTCCGGGTCCATCAGTGGTCATGGTACCATGAACAATTGATTCCGAACTGTTCAGAATCAACTGTGCATGTTGCAATGACCACTGGTTTGTTACAAACATTTCGTTTGGTTCTCACCATCGCCTATCAGGTGCAAGGGCTGGGTTTTGCCATTTCACGGCAAATGTATTTCACGGATTCTGATGACGATGATGCCTGGGCTGCCCAGCGAAAAAAATGTGCCCAGCAAGAAATCTTTCTTTGGCACCCGCATGAAAGTGAATGGAAAGTGCATCATTTCATACATGTTCTCCTTTTGCATGTCGTTTTCGATTGAAGGGAGTGCGTCCAAGGAAACAGAGGACATGCATTGCCTTGTCATATATTCACGCCTTTAGGGTGAAATTGCTTCCCCTCAGCGCTTACAAAGTACTGAAATATCGTGCCAGCCCTTTCAAAGGGTTGTTGTTTTTCCAAGGCGACTCTATGATCGAAAAATAAAGATCAATAACTTGCCCATCAATTTAGAGCCTGCACTCGTCAATTCACAGCGACATCTGTTCCCTGGCATGGAAGCAACTGGCATGGGAGTCGGTGTTTCCATGTCCGACATCCTGGTGATCTCAGTTCCAGACGGCAAACATTAATGCAAGTTTTGCAGCGTGTTCGTGAACCGGCCCGAAGCGGAGCCAGAAGCAAATTTGGCCACGCTGCGCGTTGGCTGCCGTCATAGCCTACCACAGCAATGAGCTAAACCCTACGTAGCGCCCGTTGGCTCTCGAAGGGGCAGGCCGCCAACCCTGACTGAAGACGTGCTTGGACGTGTAGGCACAATCTCGCGTTAGGCGCGGAAGCCAGCGCTGATGAAGCTTCCCCTCTCTGAATACACCCAAGGAGATTGAAGTGGTTGCCTCAGCACCACCTCATCCGCACTCTTGCCTGGCTGGGTGGAGAGGCTTGACGCGAGACACGAGGGCCAGCCAAGGCCCGGTGGCGAGTCGGCCGGAAGAAGAAGCGGCGGGTGGAGGAGGAAAGGGCTGGAGACCCGAAGGCGCGTGGCGGGCGTGTCAGGTGGGTGGAGTGGGCCGGGGCGCCGGCTGTACTAGCGGGAGCAAACGCCCAGAGGAAACATCAAGGGCGCAGGCATTCCGGCATCCCCTCTGCAAGGGAACGTCTGTAGGCGTTAGGCCGTCTTTGTGGAGCGTGTTGGAGGTGCCGAACGACGCCGGATGACCATGTCAGCCCCTTGTCGCTCCTGCCGGAGAAGGCGAACACCGTAAAAACATCGGCCAGAACCACGGCGATACTTCCGCGATCCCTTGCGCAAGGGACCGTCTGCGGTGCCGGGGCATCTTTGTGAAGCGTTTGGGAGGCGCCGAGCGGCTCCGGGTGGCTTGGCGGCCAAGTCTGCTCCCTGTTGCTCCCGTTGGAGAATTTGGCGGTCGGGTTGTCGGACAGGCGATGGCAATGGCTGGCGGGTCGTCCATGCCCATAATCGCACTCGTTCAGCGCCCTCCCTCCCCATGCCCCCCGCGGAGAGCCCAGGCTGCCGGGCGCCTTTCCTCCCCTCCGCTTTGGCTGCGCGCCCCGCCGTCGCGAACAACGACCTGCCCGTGCATCACCCGCCATTGTGCTTCTGCCCGACTCCGTTCCCGGCTCCGCTGAAAGCCCATCCCCGCAGCTGCCGCAGCCGGACGACTGGGCGGACCATACACCGCCAAGGCCCGCTTCCGATACCCAAGGAAGGCGTATCTCTCCAACCCCAGCGCCTCCCATCGGCAGCTCCCTTGGCGGCATCCGCTCGGAGAGCGCTCGTGGTGCCCGGCTGGCCACGTCGCGCCGACGTTGCGCTGTTGGGCCGGACACCACTGACCCACGGCTGACCCACGCGCCTCCCTGTCCCGGGCCACCTCCCCGCAAACCCCTCCCTCTCCCCCCTCCTTCCTTCTTCCTCCCCGCAGGTCGGCCCAGCCGTACACAGCCGCTTCCCACGGCTACCCCCTACCCCCCACCCCTCCTCCCCCCAGGTCGGCACAGCCGTACACAGCGGCCAGTAAGTTCTTCTCAACCTCGGGGCGACGAGCTCCAAAGGTCCCGGCTCTCCAGAGCCGGCCAGCAGGTGACAGCGGCCAAACTCGAGGCGCCCGAGCCGGGGGAAGAAGGAAATCCACCGAGCGCCCCGGCGACGGTGCCGCGGCCGGCCCGGCGCCGAAGAGGTGCGAGCACCCACCCAGCTTCCCTCGCCATGGCGGGACGTTCGCCGCCGTTTCCGGCTGTCAACGAATGACGGCCGCCTGTCCCTGAGCGGGTGCCGGCCGGTCCAACGCCGGCGCTTTTGGACACACCAGGCCCAGGGGCGGTCCCTCCTCCCCTCTTTCCCCAGACACGATGTTCAGCCGGCCACGAACCTCTGTGGATGGCCGCTCCGATCGTTGCCTCCTGTCCCCAGGGCTTTGCCTCCGAGGTCCCCCAAAGCCCTGGCGGCCATCAAACGGCGTCCAGCCACGCGGGGCCCTCGCGATGCACCCTCACCGCTCGCCCCTACCCGACCCGCGCATTTGCATTCCCCTGCTGGGCCCCCTCGTAACCCAGACCAATTCCTCAACGCCGACTCCGGCCAGGTGCCCGTCCCCGTCCGGCGGTCTCCCACACTTCTCGCCAAATTTCAGGACATCCTCGGGCGCCGCCAAGCCCAGTTCAGTTCCAATGCTCCCAGTCCTCCGCGGTGCGTGCTTCTGTCCAGTCTTCAAAACCTCCAGTGAAGCTCCAAAATCAGCCACCCACATTCGCCCGTCCTGGGAACCCTGCTCCCATCACAGGCAGCGCCGCGGCCTCAGTGAAGGCCACCCCGCCCCTGAGCCGCGCCAGCTTGGCGCTGCCGACCTGCGCCCGATTTCGACTTGCCCGGCGCGGGAAAGCGCCGCTCCTTTTGCAATGGTTAAGGTCCGTCGTCCTCTGGCCGATGGGTAAGTGCTCGGGGTGCGTGGGTCAGTCCATGCGCGTCCCACCGGTTGGTGCCCGTGGCCCTTGGGTCAGCTGAGCAGAAAGACACGGATTGGTTGTTGGGGCCGCGGCTCCTGGGACGTGTGGGTGGCGGGTTGCCGCCCGGGGGGGGGGGAGGGGGGCGTGATGGGGGCATGCTATGCTGGCGATGTACGGTAACGCATCTATGGTTCGATGGCGAATCTACGGCACGGCGGCGGGGGGAATATGAACCTTGTCGATTTCGATGATGAACGTCGTCAGCGTGGTGCCCATTCAATTGATTGAGTTTCTTGGCGGCACGCAAAAAATAGCCCTTGCGTCTTGGGGCTGGCGACAATTAACTAATTAATTTGTTTATTTGTTTATATTCCATTCGTTTATTTTTTTTATTTTTTTATTTGTTCGTTTATTTGTTTATTTGTTTATTTGTTTGTTTGTTTGTTTGTTTGTTTATTTATTTTATTTATTTTATTTATTTATTTATTTTAGTTATTTATTTACTGGTGTATTTGCTTATTCACTTACTTATGCGGCGCGGAATTGTATGAAACAAATGTTTTGAGGGTATAAAGTCCAATCTGCAAGAAATTCAACACCGAAAATGCCTCTTTGGAGCCCTGGCTCCATTCATTTTCAGAGTGCTCACGATCCTGACCACCAATGGCATAGGGCTGATTGCTTACTAATTGTTACTTTGCAATAATTCATGAGGAGGTATATTCCGCATTAGATCCGTGTTCATACTTGTAAAGAGGATGGCTACTACTCACTGACATGACAGTCGACTGCTGAGCTACTCAGAGTCTTTAAGTCTTTGGCACCAGAACATGTCCTGAACACTGGAAGTTCTGTTATAACATATGTTGTTGCCAAAATGACATTCGCTGCCTCGGTCCCTGTTCTTGCAGCACTCTCGCCAGAAGCAGAACAAGGCTCGGCACTTCGTAGGATTTGGCTGTACCGCTTTCTCCTGAAAGCTGTTTTGCTCCTTTTGTGGGCCTGCCCAGACTTCAAGGACGGCACTTCGCTCAGTTGATGATCCGTCGCTGGGCGAAGCTACTGGTGGCCATCTTGTTGATTGCTCTCATATCATGGATGTTCCCCCTGTGGTTCCTCTCAACGGTGAGCATGCATCTCAAGGCACGAGGGGCTTTTGTGGCCAACGCATTTTTAGGCTACAGGCAGTGTATTTTCCGCATGCCATGCTGGCAGCGCTCACTGCCGTTGAGCTGTAGTATTCCCTGCACACCAATGCGATTCAGCCAGTTTGCCGCATTTTGTTCTGGCACATATGTGTAATAGTATATGCTACTGTAACTTTGGATATGTTGTTGTGAATTATGTTGTCTTGTTCTATTCTGCTGTTCCTTGGCCACCAGGTAATGATGATCAGAGGCAATGGAAACTCTAGACTGGCTCTAGGCCCATTCCAGACCTTTAATCAGTCAGGGAAAATAACTGCACATTAAGTGTCTTAGCCATGCGGTCTAGGCGTACACAATACCCCAACAATGGATCACTAAAACTCCTACTTTTTCCAGAAGGTAGATTCTGAAGAATTCAGCTCAATGCAGCATATCAGTTTGCTTTGTCTTAGAGCTATATTACCCCACAGCTGGAGCTCGAATTTGGTGATATGTTTTACCATTGTTCAATGATGAAAGGACATGGAAGAAAGCAAGAAACGCCCTTGGTAAAGGCAAAATTATTGAAGAAGTTCTGCCTACATTGCGATAACAAAGGAGCAACAATAACAATGAAGGAATAGAGGAAAAATCATCAAAGTAATAAAGGAATAGATTCAAACTAAAGGAATGAATTAACCAATTTCTGAAGCGACTCGTGTCTCGGTCGTGTTCGCAGCACTCGACAGAGTCGACTGCGCCCGGAGCCTCCTTCCCGGCGCTCTGCAGCATCCGGTTCAGCATCGGGCATGAGCACAAGTGCACGGGGGTGCTGATCAGGGGGCGGTTCGTCCTCACGGCGGCGCACTGCGTTGAGGCCGTCGGGCCCAACCCCGTCATCTTCATCGGGACTGACAGCCTGGCGCCCGAAAATGCTGGCACGGTGCAGGTATGGGTTGCCGGGTCAATTTTATGTCACAATAAAGGACCGACCAATAATACTGGTTGAGACGAAAACTAAGGGAACTCACACGCAGCCACTCCCAGGCATAAGGGCCAAGACGTAAACAGATGCGTTGCAAGACAAACGCGCCAATCAAATATTGCTGGATTCAGATGCTCTCAGCTAGTAATCCACGTATCCTAAATTCATTTCACCATACTTTAACACCACGCTCACCGCGCTCAGCCACACCATATCTGTCAACATTGCCTTTATAACCATTTGCTTAACTTTCTCGCCCTCACAAATAATGGAGCAGAAAGCGTAATTCAAGACAAGCCATAGTACAATTACACGAAACGCAAAGCGTGAATGACCATTGGGACCCAGTGCAATCGGAGGGGGCGCCTCCAAATGTGAGCTATGCCCTCCAAACACGTTGTGGGCCCCTCTTGCTACCTCACACCCAAAATGCGTCATGGCATATCGCCATAAATCCTGATGCATCACTTCACAGCTTTGCGTGCCTCAACATATCTTTGCACACGTGTAAATTCCCACCGCTGAAAAAATGACCCGTTTTGCGCAGTTCCTCCCCGTGTGTGGGAGTCGTGATGCATTGCTGGAAATGGCGCATAAACGGTCTGAAACGCTGCAGAGTGTGGCTTAGCCGTTCAGTCGTACTGACACATTTACAGGTCCCATTTTGCGTCCCTGCATATGGGGCAACCCGTTGCGATCTGCACTCAGTTTCCGCCACATATCTCCGCAAATCAGGGCTTCCGTGCGCCATCTCGAGAGCCAGCGAATGACAACTTGTAGTGCGAGCAAACGCGAGGATGGCACAACGGTTTTGTTTTAAAACCGCTTTGAATCATTTTGAAGCCATTTTGCAGTCATTTTAAATCAGTTTGAAATCACTCTGCAACAACAATTTTGCGTCCATTTTCCAGATTTACAATTGAGAGGCCACAAATAACCACGACCTGAAATCGCCAATTCGGATTCTCGCGTCCTGTACAGGTGCTGCGAGCGACGGAGGTGCACGTCCACCCCGATTGGACTGGGAACGTCTCCCTGGGCTACGACGCCGCCATGTTTGAGCTGTCTCGAACGCTGGCCGCGCGGGGGCCCACGCTGGCGTCGACCTCTTACGACTTGTACGCAAGCTCGGTCGTCCACACGCTGCAGAAGCGTCGCGGGTCGGGGCGGGAGTCTGGGCCAGGGACCGGCGTCAGGGTTGGGAGGTTTAACGTCGTGTCGAGCGACCTGTGCCCGAAGATGAAGAACCTGACCCCCGACACGTTTTGCATTTATTCGGACCAGGAAGATATGCAACCCGGTAAGCAATCTCGCTCCGGAAGGAGGTGAAGCTGTTGGTGGCGGTGGTGTGGGGGTATGTGGGCATGGGTTTCGGAGACTGCATTGGACAGAAAGCACCCTTTCTAGAAAATGTCAGGCCAAGGACAGCCGATGTCGACACTGGAGGGGGAGCCGGATGAATGACTAAATTACTGTGGCAATTGCCCATTGTAGCTACGGATGACTAGGTACCGTTTTGGCAGACTGGTGCCTAGTCATCTGCAGCTACAATACATATCGACCACAGTAGTTTAGTCATTCACCCGGCTCCCCCTCCAGTGTCGACATCGGTTGTCCTTGGTTGTGCTAAGTTTGCTTGACAGGCGTTGAGACTGCCGCGCTGAAAATTGCCGCATTCTTATTGGCCTTCTCTCAGCATTCGGCACCAACCAGTGAAACTGCTAGTTTGCATTTATGGCTTACTTGTGTACACACACGTGCATCTGTTATGTGCGATTCAACACTATTGTACGTGCAAATGCTGCATCTAAAAGTACATTGCCACCTTTTTGCAGGCACCTCCGGGGGCCCTGTGCTCGAATACCAGGACACTGGCAGCAACGAAATGGGTGAGCTCGACTTGTTGGTGGGAATCGTGTCATCCAGCAACTACTCGGATCCCCACGCCAGCGGCATCGCGTGCACTCGAATCAGCAGCATCGTCGATTGGATTAACGCCGTGGCGCCTCCACAGAAGGTTGGTTCAAGGAGCAGCTGGCGAGAAATGAGCTCAGATCACTGGACAAAAAGGGTCCGAAAAACACATTTTGCTAACACGCACATATGCAGTTCATCAGTTTTCTGCCTTTTAGAGACATGGAAATAACCCAAACCGTAAAATTGTTGCACGCTTGAACACGTGTTATTTGGCCTTTTTTTCCTATTGGATGCTGTGTGCGTCGGTAATGCCCCTTTTTCAGGACATGGGTTTTCCCGTAATCTCACCCTGCATGTTCAACATGTGCAATGAGCCTCAGGGTGACATTGCAATCGCCCTGCCCAAAGGATGTTGCACCTCCACAGAATACTTGGCTTGAGGTGTCAAGCACCAGGATACCATTCCTTTTACTAAAGTCTTGCTTCTCATCCTTCTGTTTCCGCTGGAGACATATCCTGCTGTTTCAGCAGCGCACTAATGGATTCTCATGCAGTAACCTACGATTATATGTCGTGCATATTGTCTTTACTGTGGCACATCAACATTGTTGCATTGCTATGACTAACGATTGCATTGATTGGATAAGATCACTTGATGAGATCAAAGCATTATAGCGATGACACTTAAGATTAGGACCCTACTTGTTGGAGGATTTTCCGATAGCTATCATTTCCGGACACAAGGTCATGAAGGCGTCAAGAATGTCACGAAAATTGCGGCTGCCATTAAGATCTATGCCCCAAAAAACATAAAGATTCTAAGTCCTAAAAATTCCTTCGCGACTTCATGTCCGGATATCAAGGGCGTTGGGCAATTGCAACTTGTTGAGAATGGACAATGGATATGCATTTTGGTGAACTGACATCAGTTGACATTAGGTGATGTAGGCGGTAACGGTGGGAGCCGCTGGGTGGTGGCTCACCCTACAATGTGCGGATATTTGGGATTCGCTTTACGCATCAATTTTGTTACCTGTTAACTTCGTCTGAGTAGCTACTATGTCTTGTTGCACGCAAGGGCGAAAGCGCAGAACGTAGCATCACAAAGTTGTGTTTTGTCACGCAATGCTTGAACATGGTAGCGATCACGGTAATCATCTAGAGTATTTGTGTAGTACTGAAACCTAACTGTTTTTGCATTATGTGTGCTGTAGGAAGACACTCCCAACCTCGCTGGACCCGTTGAACGTGCAGCAGAAACTGCTCAGAAGCTTCTCATCCGACTGAAAAGCGACTGGAGCCAGCTGTTTGCACCAGTGGTGATAATATACACCAAAACCGCGGCAACAATTGCGACAGTTGGCAAATCAACTGTAAGTATTTTCCAAGTTTTTGTTTTGGAAATTGAGATTTCTTACCATTCCATGCTATACTTCAAATGGCTCCATTGAATTTTCAATGCTTAACGCGGCAAGAAAATTGCGTTTGTTGGGCAGTGTCTTGCCAGCGCGTTTGCAGCTGGTCCGGCCACGACAGGAACAATGCCGATCCGTCATCCCAAGGATTGCTGGCGGCGAGCTGAAAGTGTTAGATTTGATCAATTAACTAGATTTACAAGCGTTGTACTTAGTGTGCACAGAGCTCGACCCCCATCTTCGCAGAGGCAGTTACGCATACACCATACATCGTTGGTTGCGTTGCGCGCAGAGGAGGTCATGGTTTCTGCAAGAGAATGCAGCATCCCAATAATGGTTCGGCTCCTTAGGGCGCACCACCCATCGATGGGTGATATTGATTGTTTGATTGTTTGATTGATTGACTGCTTGATGATTGATTGAATAATTAATTGATTGGTTGATATCAATTGTTGCGGAGCAAATCGATCGGGCTCCTTGGGCTGTCAAAAACGAGCATTTCCCTCAACTCAACTCCATGTAGAAGCCTGTCAATTGGTACTAACTCCATAGTGTTACCTTGAGTTTCATAATCAGAAAAATTTCTAGGACTTTGGCGCCTTTTGGCGCAATTCCCTGCAGTATTTGTGACGCCAGTAGTCGATTGCCTAATTGATTGTTGGCAGCGATAACGTAATTGAGGCGCTTATTGCGTCACCACAGGCCCAACACGCTTTACGCCTCTTCTTCGAGTTTTTCCGCCGAGGCGTTTGGAAGGTATTGTGCCCGCTGCAAAGCGGGTGCCCGTTCGCCTTTCTGGGGCTCCTGCTGGGCGTGCTCTGGTGGCGGAGCTGTCTTCCAAGATGGGCTGGAGTTGTCCATGTGCTCATGCGTCTCCTGGGGCAGATTTGCAATGCTGTGCGCTGTGTCGTTGAAGTGGTGGCGACGGTGATGCCGGTGGGTGCCCTGTTTCATACGAGCAAGACGAGCAAGACTAGCCCCAATCATGTACAGCATGTGTCTTTTTTTGTCCATAGCTAGACGACCACTTTTGATTTTGGGACGCCGCATTTGCGTCATGTGCTCATTGCTGACCCCTGCAAGTCGCACTCAGTGAGGCAGTCAGTGAATGTATACAATGTGTTCCGGACAGAGGCAAAACAAAAGGATCTGACAATGGTTCACACGTTTCTTACGGCTCCCCACGAAAACGATTGAGGAACAAATTGACAGATGCATCGGGATATTTGCGTGCAAAGCAATTTTGGCATCAAGCAGTAGACTCTCTTACCCGTGCCTTAAATGTTGAAGCTGTTGAGTATCGTCGCGCAACTGTTCAACCGTACTTCGATGGGGCAACGTCGTCAAGACTCAAGCCTATTATTTCGATGACAGCATGCACGGATAGTTGATCGAACGATGACCAACTGGGAGAGTACGGCTTGCATCTTGCACCGCCGAGCCATGCCTTGTTCCAGCGAAGTGAACATGAAGCCTCTCGTTATGAAGAACTTAAGGAGTGCAATGAAATCCAAGAATCTTCTGTAAGCAGCCTGACGCAAATCAGAAACTTGCATAAGTGTCTCGTTGTTGCACATACTTGCAGGCGCTGAGGTTGGTGCGCCAGCTCCCCGAGACCCCGCACATCGACCGCGCTAGACGGCTGTTCCAGCAGGCTGCCGAGGCGACCGCCGAGGGCCACCACACTGCCGCCCTGTGGGTCATCCACGAAGCCATGGAAGCAATGGACGCCGCCAACTCGTGCTGCAGCGAACAGCGAACGACCAACTGTCAACTCCGCCCATCGACGGTCGAATGGGAGCGGGCGTTCACCTGCCTGGGGGACGCCCGCCTCGCCATAGCGCGCCAGCTAGCCCAGCGGCGGGGCCCGGGGGCCCATGTCCCGGATCCCTTAGCCCCCGGGGAGGTTGAAGCGCACCGGCGGGAAATGCTGGAGTTGGCCGGCGACGCCTATCGGTCGGCCATCGCCATGGGCGAGATCGCGCGCGGCAACATGGACATGGCGGTTGGGGCGGGTATGGGCAAACTGGCGGCGGTGCTTGAGGCCCAGGGTGGGCTGGGCGCCGCGGAAGATGTATGTTGGGCTGCGCTGGGCGTGCTGCAGCGGGGGCTAAGGTGTGGGTATGGCGGGGAGTGGCAGGGGGCGTTTGATGATGCCATTTGCACGCTGGGGGCGGTGCTGGTGGGGCAGGGGAGGGGAAGGCTGGCGGAAGCAGCATTCGATGCTGTGAGGGAGGGGGCGAGGTGGAGGGGTGGGGGTAGTGGGGAGTTATGATGGGCGGTCAAGGAAACTGAGCCATGGATGAACCCCTTGTGTGCATTGCAATGTGCATATAGTATAGATACGGTTAGATATGGATTTTGGGTTGTTCAGGGGGACTGGCCAGCAGTGAACAGAAACGAGGGGTGCCATCTAGGAACGAGGCAAAAGGGTGTGAGTGGCATCTCTGGTGGGCGAGCACAATAAATTCGTTGTTGGGGGCACGGACTAGTTGGGGAAATTGGCTGATTGGCGGGGATACTGTGATGGCGCATCATTGGGGGGACAATAAGCGGCAGCCAAAGGCCGATGCCCCAAGCGATTTTGATGGCCTATTGGCGGGTGTGCTGAAAATGGGATTTTGATTGATCTGTCAAGTCTTCACTCTTAGCTATTGTGGCATTTCATACACGGCATTCTATTTTTCTACCAAGCTCTCACTACACCTGGATGTGGTTAGGGGGTAGATCTGGCCGATTAATAAGGACTGGCAGAGTGTGCATCCGTCAAGGGTGATAGCTCTGCCAGTCGGCAGCGTGTTTCTCATTGCTGACCAAGGTGGGTCTTCTAGACCACCGCCCACTGACATTTTTGTTGCTTCTGAAGATAAGAGAGACGCAGCAGTGCTTCACATTTGATCAACTCTGGAATGCGAAAGGTCCAGCGGGACTTTTAGGAGCTGTCATTCGGATCATTGTGAAGCTTGTGGCATCGGAACCGATCTTCAGTTGTGTTTGATGGGATCCACGGTAAACTGCTGCATTCTTGGCTTATGTAGGCCAGGAGTTGTACAGTAGATCTGCAGGGCTATTTGATTGCAGAGGCCCAGACTTAGGCCCGTTAAAGTATTCGAGACATATCAATTGGCGGCAGGAGTGGCAAGTTTGATGGGAATGTAGGCATTGCCTCCAGGGAAGTGTTTTGTGGCTTTTTCTCTGAAGACACTGAACTGGCAGAAAGTTTTGTTGGGTTGGTGGTGAATCTTCACAGCTGTAGAGCACATGTCGTGGGGTACTGAATGATAATAGTTGCACTCTTGCTGAAGAGTATAGAAATGGCAGTAACACTCACGAATAATGTGACAGTTCTGGGGTGAAACGATGCTCTCATCAGTTTGGAAATGAGTCGGCACATTCTCAAAGTGGGTCGATTCAGGTGGTCAAAATTTAGAAGCTGTGGAGTTGGGATTGCACCACACTTCCAAGTCACGTTTTGCTGTGCACTCTCCTTACAGCTTTCTCATTAATTTGCCTTCAGCAGACTCTGCACTGCGGGGAGGATGTTTTTTCAGTCAGTGGGGACTACCGGCAGGCGCGTATAACCTACGTGGCACCACCTTGCTTGATGGCTTTAGGGCTTGATTGTCACAAAGGTCCGGATTCGGCCAACGTTGGCCAACTGGCGCCGGCACGTTGGTGCCGTCGGCTGCGTCGGTTCCCTGGTGATTGGCCATCGGTACCTGTCGGGATCGCCAGCAGATTCGTGCCGGCAACGCAATGGCCATGCAGCCGACGCTGCCGGCCGCCATCAAGCCCCATTTGCCCAGGGCACCGGTCGGCTGCCGACAACGCCAATACCTTGTGGGTTCCATGCCCCTCTAGTGCCTCTGTCCCGCCCTGTCGGAACCAGTCGGCACTTTGAAAGTCGACGCCTGCCAACCCCCGCCGATGCGCTGCTGCCTGATGGTGACAAAGCGTCGGCGCTCTTTGCCGACGCCGGTTGAGTTGTGGAAGGTGTGGAACGTTCTCGCCATGTAACATGGCCCATGTTGAAATGGCAACTTGGTGCGGCACTGCCTGACAGGCATGTGCGTTGGGGTGGAAGGCAAATCTGCGCTCTCGTGTATGCCTGTGCGTAAGCAGAATTCACCCATGGCTTCTCAGGATACGCAGTCGCCGGTGACTGGTCCCCAGTGCCGGGGACGCTATGCGGATTTGGTGCACGGGTCGAAAGTTGTACAGAAAACTGTGGTAAAATCAACACGACTATTCCTCACTCAAAATGGCTGGCCGAGGTAGTGTAATAGTAGTGCTGAGTGATACTAATAGCTGGTCATACAGCGCTGGAGAACTAAACGAGAAATGCACAAGCACGACAAAGCAACTAAGCTCAACTCAACACAGGCGAAAAGTAGCAAACCTTGTGAATACTTACGCAGGACACGGAGGACTGGGGTGTAGGACGCAGCCATATTCTGGATATGCATTCCTAGGATACGGTGTCCATATCTCTTCGATATCCAGGACAAGTTCTTGACTCCACGACGCAAACCAGGCGGAGCAAAACATGGACGAATTCATCTTCTACTATCAAGAATGTAGAAGCTCCGGTGCCCGCTGCCTGTCTTGCCCAAACTATATGGAGCACACGAATCGGCGGTCCCTAAGTAACATGAAAAACTCCCAAGCCTGACGAATCGGCCTCGTCTAGTCACGCAAGATACAGTATCCGTAAGCAATCTTGCCCGCCACCCACATTATCCGCATTGGTCAATGAACTCATGAGATCACGTGAGCCTATTTGATCCCGATCCAACTTCAGAGTGCTTTGAATTGATACGAGTCAAAGCAAATTTGCTACATTAAGCGAAACGGAGAGCTTGCGCTCGTGGGAGGAACATGCATCCAAGATATGGGAATACCGCTGATGTGCACACCCTAGATATGCAACTTTTCTCCAATGTCGCAGCCAGAAAATTGGCCGAAGGGTTAAGTTTTCCACAGCAGGTCGAGCCCTGCGCCTTTGGAAGATTACATCTCTTGCAAAATAATCGCAAAGTCCAAACCAGAAACCTTGGGTTCGTGTTGCACCAGAATGCCCTACGAGCCAGTTCATCCACTTGGGGCACAACTTCACTACTCGGGGCACATGTTATTTGATTAATAATTCAGTTCGAAGCGCACAAGATCATGATTTCAGATAATTCTTGCCAACTTGAGCCTCCAATGGGGCGCAAGATGCATCTAACGGGGCCTCCGGATGCCCTGAATACCTCAGCGATTCCCCCGATTGCTGCTGTGGGGACACGGCCCCAGCGCAATTTCAATCGCCTATGGAAAAGTACCTGCTAGTCATTCAGCGCTTGCCAAACACCGTTCTCTGTATACATGCATGCAACATTGAATGTACCGGCAATCCACCCGGACCTTCATTTTGTGTTCTTGTAATGCCCGCCCAGGTAGTGATATGTACAGTCCGGAGGGAGGGGGGTCGCCCGTCACTTCGCATTGCGACATGGCATTTCGCCGGGACACCGCGCCTGCGATTGATCCAAGCACGCATCACACACACACCCCGAAAAAACATCATGCGTTGAAAACTGGCAGCGCCTCCCGCTCAAAGCAAAAGTCGCTGGCAGCCGCCAGGCCTCCGTGCTGAACCAGGCGAGGCGCGGCGACAACGGAGAGAGTCGACGCGGTGACCAGGAGATCGGACGCGCCGGCGCACGACAAGCATCGTCCTCACGGCATTGGCAACCGCATGGCTGCAGCGACTTTGCCCATGCTTCACAAGCGACATGGCCCTGGCGGCCACATTCTTGGCAGGAAATCGCGACCCGAATATACGCTTCCCACTGGGTCTCTGCCTTCGAGGGAATTCCCTGCCTGCGCAACTTGCTAGGAGGCCAACTTCCAGCTTAAGAAATCGATATCTGCGCCTTGTGAATTGTTCCAGAGTGCCCAACGGCTGGCCATTAGATCCACACCTCCGTATCCCCGGGAAAGCGGACGCCCCACAACAGTGCGGTTGCCTTGTTCGCAAGGGAAGTTTAAAAGAAACGGTTTCCGGCTGTGGCGGTGACAGCCTCCGCAGCGGCAGGAAACGGCAAGAACACCGATGGGTGTGCTGACCGCAATGTGCTGAGGGTTCTCGTGTGTGGTGCCTGACGCTGAGGGTGCTGGAGCGCCGAAGTGATGCATATCTGCCACTAATTCTGGAATAGGCGGCGGCGATGATGAGCTCTGAGATCAGGTGAGATCTCGACCCCACCTGACCTGACCCCACCGACCTGACCTATAGGCGGTTGTGTGGCCCATAGCGTCGGCGGCGCCAGTGGCAACGGTCTCCGTAGCAACAGCGAACGCCACGAGCAAAGGCAGTTGTGCTGAGCTTGGTTGGCGCGGTATGCTGAATGGTCTCTTGTGTGTTGGGCGCTGCTCAGGTTTTTGAAGCACCAAGCACCATTTACCTGTCGTTGTTCATGTACAGCAACCAAGACGACGAGGATTCGAAGAAGGCAGAGAAGAGCGAGGTGTCGAGGGTGGTGTTGATCTTCTCCAGGGGGTCAATAACAGTGTTATCAAGGTTCCGCATAAACATTCCTGACTAAAAATCGGGGGGATGTTCTTTGTAAAAAGAATTTTTTGAGCAAATTGTAATTGATGTTGTTGTGTTACATTCTTGTGCCCTGGCCATTGAGAGTTATGATCAACGTGCCCTGGCTGTGTGTGCCATATCAGAGTGCATGTCAGATTGGGAGGGCAGCAGCTGCAGATTGTCCCCTACTAGACATGGTTGGATACCTGGGCGGGGTTTTCCAGGGAGACAGCGTGCCGACAACGAGCCAATAGCTGCGCGCATATGGAAAAAAAGGGCACTACAAGCAGAAAAAACACAGAGCCACCTGAAGAGCAGCAGCAATTGGACGGTACCATCGATGATTTGCCCTCGATTGCTGATTGCTAGCTTCTCAACGGCAGGGCGCCGTTGTATCAAGTGTCGATTCAAAGCGCAGCAAAGACATCTCCATGCAACACGGCAACAAGAGAACCGTCCAGCAACGTCGCCATCAGTGGACCTTGCATCGACCTTTTCCACGTCAAAGAATGGCCCCATTGACAACCTGTTGCTGGGCGCCCGGATTGCTGTAACGTTATCTGGCCCTTTCGCAATACAGCTCAGCATCAACGTTGAGGTGTGCAGTCGTTGATCCAACATTCCAGCGACGTGTCTTGCGGCAACAGTACCATCAAGACGTCTTGCTGAAATGCTGCATCAACGCTCTAGCAACAGCC